ATGTTAAAATTCAGTGTTTCAATTTCGATTTTTTTTTTGGTTCTTTTTTTTGAATGTTCCATTCCTCCTCTAAATTTTGCTTTTCAACCATGTTTCTCCCTGCATTTCTTAGCAACTCTTTTAATGGCTTGCTTTTTTTTTTAAAAAATGATTTCAAAAATTCAACTCCGATCTTTCGAGTTCCGAAATACTAGAATCGTTTACAAATTCAACAATGACTACTATAAAATATTATGAAAATAAAGCAAATTACAACAAATTCAACTACTAGCATTTCAAATCATTTTTTAGCATTGAAGGGCATAAACACCTACCAGAGTTGTCTTACTGTTTTAATAAAAAGCAACAGACAAAGTAAAAAAACATACTAGAAATGAGCAAGTTAGAAGTCTAATCATTTTTCTAAAAAATTAGACAATGATTGAACAGCAGACAAAAAAGGACAAAGATGTCCGGAAAAAGTTAATATGCTTTGCAAAGCGTTAGAGTTTTATCTAGAAACAACAAAAAGTAGGAAATAAAATTAAAATTTAACTGCGAAAACTTATGCAAACTTGAATGTTGTAGCAAAATGAACGAAAATTTAAGCTAGAAAAAAAAACCTTTTTCCAGTCTTAATATAATCATTTCTGCTGATCTTATCCGTTAGTATCTCCATTTACAGTTTGCTACTTTCATATGTAAACGAGTCACTTTTTCCGACAAACACATCTTTCTTTCCTTCTGATATTGTCAAATGACAATACGCAGCATCTATCTTTTGCCAGAATGATAAAATCATTTTTTCTCCCGTCTTCAATAACTTAATAGGGTATATGTGATCACAAACCAGAAATCAAACCGGAACGGTCATGGAAAACAAAAGTCAAGTCAAAAACCACGGAAATTTTAGTTGAAGTTCCTCAATATCTCCTAAAATTTCTCAAAAAATGCTTTAAAAAAAATGGAAGAATAATTGCATACAATCGACTGCGTATAAGTCGAAGAAAAATCAACTAGCCACTAGCTCTTTCTAAATATCTCAACGTTTACAACCGCCACCCGATCTACAGCAGCCATCGTCACGATGATTATCGAAAGATCCTAGATGCAAATGTTCTGGTCCCTGATTATGAGAGGTTAGTTGTTTTGAATATTTGTGTTGTGATTTCCAGAGCTCAGAATAACGGCTAGCAGGTTTTGCAAGTAGTTCGAAGTGAGATCCACTTTCAGCAACCTGAAATAAATTCCTGTTTCTGTCCAGGAATACTTGAATAATTTTTGCATTGATTTAAAATTAAAATACTTAAAAATTCTTTTACCACATCTCGACGCTTAATAACAAAACTATTTAGTTGATATAATTTTGAGAAAAATCATACATTGGTTTGGTTTAATGAGTAAATGGAAAATCACTACTGTGGTCTTCCAAATTAAACTCTGGAAAACCAGTTTGTAATTAAATTCCATAAAATAAAGATTACTTTTCCATTTTCCAGCACATAGATGATATCAGCGTCGATAATCGTAGCTAAACGATGTGCAATGAACAATGATGTGCGCTGCTGCACGGCATTTCGCATAGAACTCATGATATTTTCTTCCGTTAAAGCATCTAACGATGAAGTTGCTTCATCATATACTGCAATTCCCGTCATATGATCATACAAAAACCAATAAGGATTGGACTTGTGAGTAGATCAAAGTTATGTATTCAAAATATGATAATCGATAAAGTACTCAAATCAACTAATCTGCTCCTCAAAAAACAATCCCCAAAAAATGGTCTACGAAACTGAAGTTGAGCTAAAGAATTGAGAAAATTATACTTTTATGTATTAAATTATACTTTTTATGTATTATGTATTAAAATTCTACACTAAATTGGTTACAATATGAGTTTTATAAAAAAAAACTAAGACTAATAAAAATCAAACCTAATGCTTCATTTAAAGTCTAATTTTGCATTATAAAATTTTAATTTGATCTTTAAAGGCTTTATCATCATCTTTATACTTAATAAAGTTAAACTTAACAGACCTGTATTAAAGAATGTGAGCTTATATATTAATTTTTTTTAACTTGAATTATCACCTATAATAGGAGCATTTTTTAATAATGCCCGAGCAATTGCAACTCGCTGTTTTTCACCTCCACTTAACTTTAAACCTCTTTCGCCAACAACTGTATCGTAGCCATTTTTGAATCGAATCACCGAATCATGCAAATTTGCCAGTCTCGAGACAGAGAGAACCTGAAAATAGTAGGAGATAAACTACCACCGAATTTCGGTTGCTGAAGCCAGAGAAAAAAAGTAATCTACCTCTTCTTTAGACGCACTTGGATTTCCGTAATGTATGTTGTAATATACAGTATCATGGAAAAGAACTGAATCCTGAAATTTTCAAAATTCTTCAATCATCAAAAAAACATCAGGAAAATTTGATAAAAACTGTAAGCACATCGTTTTTCAATGTTCTTTCTTTGTTATTATAAAAAAAGAACAAAGTTTGACCTGAGGTACAACAGAAATCATTTTTCGCAGACTTTCAAGTTTGACGTCACAAATTTTTTGACCGTTGATACAAATTTCGCCATCTTGCGGATCAAATAAACGGTATAAAAGTCGAACAATAGTCGATTTACCGCTTCCGCTGCTGCCTACTATAGCTACCTGTAAAAAAATTGGTAGGTAAATAAATAACTTGATATGGATATGGCAAGGCTTTATTATGTAATCATATTTATTTCGTTCGCTTATCTCTTCTTAAGCAAATAATAACATTCCGGTCGCCAATCATCTATGTATGTGATGTTTATGCTTAAAAAAATCGAATCCTGCTCAGATGGTACCTTTTTACCAGAAGGAATATCCAAATTTAAGCCTTTTAATATGTACTGCCCCGGTAGATAGCCAAATGTAACATTTTTAAACGATATAGTCGAATTTCGCATATGAACATTCAAAGTTGGAGCATTTGGTTTCTCCTAAAATGCAGTATTCCATCAATTCGAAATTCAAACAATTGTTGTAATTCTAAGATTTGTATCATCACCAAACTTAAGATTTAAGGAAGGGTCGCAAACGAAATAAAAAATCCGTGTTTCCTTTAATCTGGTAAAACAAATCAATAACATACATTTTAAAGAAATAACAACATGTGCTTTCACACAAACTTACAGTTATATTGCTTTTTAAGCATAGTAATGAAAACATTAACTGCATATCCACCAATCCTTGTTTTATTTCCCGATACACTGAACCAAGGAAATTTAATGGTACAGACAATTGAAATAATAATGTATTAGCAAGGACAAGATCGCCAACATTCATTTTGCCTGGAATTTCTTCACTAATTCGAAAGTTTTAAAAGTACTGCAAAGAAAAACAATGAAATCATTCAGCTCCCATCATATTTCTAGTTCACTCCCTAACACGTTTGTTTAAATACGTGAAGTCATTACTAAAAAAAAAGACACTATTCACTGCTGCTGCACGGTTGGCCTTTGATTTTGATACATAAAAATATATTTTCTATATGACGTATTATCAGTCTAGTATAATACTTGATCGCGATAAATATTACAAATAGCATTACAATAAAGTTATCATAAAAACAATCAAATTTGATTTACCTTAAATCAGGAAAATTTTTTGAAACAGTAGTACCTTTCTGAATTTCTGCTGCTGCTAAACACATGACAACTACAAGACCACCGCTAAATATTGCATTTTGTGCAAAATTCAGAAGTGCTAACGATGTACTCGTCTTCAGTGCTGCTACTTCATACTTCTTCAGGAAAAATCATACCGATCCGCTTCAAAACTTTCATTGTTGAAATACTAAAATAACTGAAGTATTTTATTCTACTAATCCTTAGATGAAAATTCGCTTGCTGCTTCTCATAAAATCTAGCACAAATTTGTAATTACCTTCACAGTTTCATAATTAATTAATGAGTCAATAGCACGATTGTTCGCATCGTTATCAGCCTGGTTCATCTGATGCCGGAATTTAGTCCTCCATTTGGTGATTCCTAGCGTCGCAATAGTATAAATTGAAAGACAGCCTAATGTTGCAAATGTAAACGATGGACCGCAATTGACGTACTGGAAAAAGGGTTGCAGATGTTAAGAAAGTAATGACAACACAAAAATGTTAACGAATTTTGAAATTTTCAACGAATAGATCTCACCAGCAATCCTGAAACCATGCCTACTTCAATTGCTGTAGGCACCACATTAAAGACCAGTGCACTTTGTACGAATGCCATACCCCTAGTACCACGGTCTATCGCTTTTGATATACCACCTGTTTGTCGACTTAGATGAAAGGACAAATCTAACGAATGCAAGTGAAGAAAAATTTGCCGTGCAATGTTACGAATACTATACTGTGCAACACGTGCAAATACTGCATTCCGAAGTTCATTAAATAAAGCTGAACCACTACGTGCTGCACCATCTGCAACAAAATATTGATGATAGTATTAATAGATGATTATATTAACAATATGTGCAAAAAAACTCATTTGAATATATCTCCAACCTGATCATCCAAAAACTCAAAAAATCCTGCACTTTATCAAATGGTCTAAATAATCTCATAATTTTTACAATTAGAAAAAAATCCCTGAATAATTACAAGAATATTGCACAAAAGACATACAAGTTATAATAACTGAGAATGCCGCAATTCCAAACATGCTACTATAACTATCAGCTGACAGCTGAAGACTAATCGGTACTTGTTCGTTGTAATAATTAATTATATTCTTCAGTAGAAATGGTACATAAACGTTCAGCACCTGCAGAAATGGATGAATAAAAATTGCTGGTTAATCATGAATTGAAAATGCAAATTTTTAAATCCAAACTAATCGGTTTCGTAAGAGGGAAAGTAAAAAACCAGTTAGGATGTTTCAACTTACCTTCGCCACAACAAGGAGAGCCATGGAATACATATAAAGTCGTCGGATTTTCCAATTCCCTTTTGGCCAAACAGAGCGCAACATTGTCCTCACCAATTCTGCTGTCGATATTTGTTTGCCAAGGGGAAACTGCACAAATTGGTAAGTACTTTCGGTAAATCGACAAATAATTTCGGTAAATCGGTAATGTATTCCGACCCTAACATCACAGCAGACTTTTACATGTCTAGCATATAAAAATCAAGTACAGTATGTCTATAGGTTTTCAACATTGTAAAATTACAGAAATGAAGTTTCAACTTCTATAAAGAATTGAGTTAGGATTTTTCGACTCAAATTTTTCTCATTAATCAGAAGCAGTTTTCCTACCCCAGTCACTTACTTTTAGATCATTTAAGATGGCAACCATAAGACTCACCGTCATCGGTACTAGACTGCTTGCACCGGGATGGAAGCAGTTCCGAATCTGTCCAGTTATGCGTTTCCATAATGTAGTTCTTGATGCCTTCGGATTCCTTTTTGATGCGGATAAAAAATTGCGCTGTAAAAATATTTAATGACTAGCAGTAACCAAATATGTGAATAAAAACATAGCTTGGCATTTTCATGGGACTAATCATTTGTCTAAACGAAATGTTTTAAAAACTAACATAAACAAGCTTCGTTTGCCGATTCGACAATTGAAATTGCTTTTGAAGCATTGTACGGAGAAAGTAATTCATAATGTTGTAAGATATTTCGCATTACCAAAACCCGTAGAAAAGCTTACCTACCTGAAAGAAAACTTTAACTTATCAATCTTTAAATGTTCATGGACAAACGTACTGGAAAATTCATGCGCATCAAGCGCAAAAACATCCATATTCAAAACATACGATGCGATGGCAAGTAGTAAACAAATTACAAAATTAAATGCTTGAATTCCATGAGTTAAGAAAGTCAGTGAAACAAAAACTAACTGGAAAAAATCATATATTCATACACGGATTGATTTAAAAGTTAAAAAGATGTATTGAAACGTGGAAGAAGAAATACTTTACAAATAAGAGATTCATTTTTTAAATAAAGTGTCTGTGAGGCACATTCTGGAAAAATGCACCATGGCAAGTAAAGTGTCTGTGAGGCACATTCTGGATAAATGCACCATTACCGATTACAAATTAATTGATCAAGTTGATACTTTCGTGAAATGCACTACATTTTAGAAAGTGGCCAGAGCTGTAAGTCCATGAAATTATGTGTTAAGACAAGATAAGGGAAGGAAGAGCTGTAGGATGCATCGCATCACGAGAATCTCTTTACAACGTTATCTGAGCGTACGTGGATGCTGGGCACGTGTCATACAAACATACCTAAGAGACACTCACACGCTATACGTTTGCACGTTGACGTGAATAACAACGAGAGCTGAGAAACGAAGTAAGACCCCGCCCCCATTAAGCACCACCCATTTGTAGCGAAATGCTGCAGATGGGCATTGTGACGATAGTGGCCGAAGCTACAATTGATTCCTCACTTCTCTCGATGTCTGACTTCCTGTAGTTATTCCTGTTATCGATTTTCTTCTGATCTCTTCTCTTCGTTCTCTTCTAGTTTGTTCGTTTTTCTTACACTTGTTTTCTTTCATTCTCCCCGCTCTCCCTGTTCTCTCTCTGCTCACTTCTCTCACCCTTCCTCTACTTCACTGTCATCCCACAAGAGAACAAAAGAAAGAAAAAGAGAGAGACAAGAAATTTTCATTGGTTGTTTCGTCTTCTCATTTCTTTCTTTATTGGTGCGTGTTTGGTTCGTGGCCAATTTCATAAATGACGCGGTGTGAAATTAGGTCGGTCTAGTACCATAGTGAAAAGTGGAGGGACCGTCACGTGTCGTACGTGTCGCCTTTGACAGTATAAGCATTACAGGGCGGTGTGTGCTATCTTATCTTCTTTATGTACAGAAATGATACTGCCGCAAATCTAACAGCAAACAATTTGAGAATTAACGCTTTGGTATTCTGAGAGTAAAGTTGACATTTTGTCTCTTTTGTTTGTAGTCATTGACGTGTAATCACTTTGGAGACTTACGCACAACGCAGCGGTGATTATCCCAAGATTTCACGTAAGATATGCACATAACTCATTTGTAAAATTTACGTGAGGCGTGTCGAGGTAGATCAGAAGCCTTTATGTTTCTAGTGGATGCTGGTCATTATGGCTAAATGATCAGAAGTGTTGCGACCCGAGTGAGTTAGTCTGTTCTGCTCAGTGTGTGTGTGTGACATTTATTCACCTGACTTTATTGAATGGACAACATTGCTGTAGCCATCGTTGTCACTCGTCTAAGGTTACAGCACTTGCGGTAATATCCTTATGAAGAAGTGTAGCCTAGCGGTATTTAAACTAAAACACTGTGAACTTTTAAAAGACTGAGAATTTCTGATCGTATCAGAGGATAAAAGTAGTCCCCGAAAACACGAGAACTAGGCGTTACATAAAATCGTGGTGGTCTCTTCTGAAATGTTAATAATGCTAGATCATCGTATTAAAATAACATCAGATATGGAAAGTATGTGTTAATAATCGCCGTTTCAGCATTAAAGCATTTGGGATAATACTAACGAAAACAAATAGAATTACCATAGACCCAACCAATTTAAAATGCTGTTATTTTTTCATCTGGTGAGTTTAGGCATTTATACATATTTGTAGCCTTGATGAAAATTCCTGATTTTTCTGTATGTTAAACATTTAAAAAAGTATTAATAGTTACGTGAAATCAATAGAGAGGGCAAGATCTGCTGTTAATAACAGTAGAAAGATACTAGTGAAAGGGATGTTCGGTACAAAGCAGTTGTCATAAATTGAGTGAAAGAATAGTTTGGGAGTCGGGTTTGAAATTAATTGATCGGGAACAAACGAGTTAGAGCTGATTACTTTTGATTAGCACTTTCTTCCTATTTTCGATGGGATAGATTCGTTGCGTGTGTGGCTCTTTCATTTCCCGGATTACCGGGATATCGAGGTTTTCATACGGCATGAATTTTTTTGTGAGCATTCCCTCTTTGCAACTGGGTTTCCCTTGTGCCTGGGACGGGACAAAAATATCTTAGCTGAATCCAGAATTTGGAAATGTTCTCGTTAGCATATTGCATCAGACTGTAAGAATGGTATGTGTTATTTTCATTTCGAAATGCTGTTATCTTTTATCTTCATTTTAATACATTGTTAGATGATGCATTTGTAGACGTTTATATCCATTTATTTTTTATTCATTTATATGAATACTCGTTTTTTTGCATCATCGGAACGTTTTGCCCACTAACAACAAGAATAAGTTTCACGAAATTTTATTTCTTTCAGATTATAAACAAACGAAATTTGGTGGTGTTTGAAGTGGAAGCAACTAATGCCACAAAATGTCATCCAGTGGAAGTTTGCTTTTTTAATTAATTTAGAATTTTTAATTAGACGAAAGTCGTACTTCAGATGTACTTCTTATTGAATAAAGCCCAGCATTTAGTTATCTTTCATTCGGAGCTGTTTTAATCAATTTATTGAATTAAATCCATAATAAAGCTGAAATTCAAGTGAGCATTGGCGCTGATGAATGAGTTTAAAATGTTCACCTTAAATATTATTTTACGCATTCTTAGATGGAGCTTAAATATCATTTTTTTTATAGATGATACTAATCAAGGAAAGGAGACAGCTTTGGATGAGGGATTTGGAGAAGATAGTGTGGCCGTACGACTAATTGAAGATTATTTGGAGGGGAAGATAACTTCACTGATTGATTTAAGCCAACTGCTGAAAGACGAAGCTGGTTTGATTATTTCAAAATCGACCCTTGCTAGACGATTGAAGGGCAAGGTGTGTTGTTCTATTATGTAATTAGTAATAACAAGAAGAAAGGCTATAATACATTTCTTATATCTGACGATAATTTTTTCTATTTTAGGTTAATGTTAAGATACGTCGTAAACGAGGTTATCATCAGCGGCGGGCTGGAGCAGACGAGTAAGGCATTTCTTTTTCTTTCAGGAAATGTAATGTACTCATCTTTTTTCTTTAAAAAAATTAAATTCCTTCGCAGTGCTTCTGAATGAATTCAACGAATTAAATATTCGGTGGTAAACTGGTGTCACAGATTTTTTTTGTTTCTGAAAAAAAATGAGGTCAAAATTGTAGATACGAAAATATGTAACATTTCAGACTTGACGATGAAGAAGCATACACGTACAGTTACTCATTATCGAGAAATTTGAATGAAACAATCGTCACAGTTCCGATTGACGATGAAAATGTCCGCCAGTATGCATTGGTTCGAGTTGCAGGCGATGGTAGGAAACGTTACTATCGGTGCAATCAATGCCTCAAATTTCGGCGAAATGATAAGAGTGCACCGCAAGCATACCTGATTATGGAAAATGGGCGTATTGTGGGTACCAAGCATCATCGACATCATCCCGACTGCAAACCAACTAAACGAATCGAAGCAACCACAACCAGTTTGGATCGGGCAAATCGGAAAGACATACGCATTGGTCTTAAAACGCCTAAAGCAGCATACGCAGAAGTATCTATGATTCTGTCCTAATCAAAATAACTGTTTCTCTAAAGACAGCTGTATTAACTATCCTTCGATATGCTTTATATAATATGGTTGAATTTTATGAAAAACCATTTCTAAAAAAAAACGACTTTGGAAAAAACTGCAAAACTGCAAGATTCTTTGGCAATGTTTTTATTTGCAGAAAAAGAATCGGTTCATAACAGTGACATTATTCCTAATAAGTAATTGTGATTATAGCATTATTCTTGAAAGTAAAAAAAAAAAAATTCTAAACTGGAAATTTTCAGGGTTTCTATCGAGCAATCGATCTTGCGTCCACGGAAGGTTCTTCAAGTAATAAATTACCGAAAATTTATCCATCGTGGAGTCGCGTACGTAAATCATACTTTCGACAAAATCGTTTGGGTAGAATCGATCGTGCGAAAAGTTTGTCAGCAGACGGTTCACTTCGTCGTGGACAACGTCATCCGGATGAAGTGAATGGTCCTGTATTATATACATATGGCGAAGATACCGATGGTCAATATGTTGTATTTGAGAGTGAAGAAATACCTGAAGGCTATGAGCCCGTACCCGTCGAAGAATTGGAGGCTGCGGCTGAAGGTGTTGAACTCGATGATAATTGGACTGTTAGTGCAAAAGAAGAGAACTTGAAAAGCGATTTACATAGTGTATGGAAAGGAGGTGATGAATTGGAACAGAAACGTTTACACGAGACCACTGTAAATGAACAAGAAACTGATGAGCTTCATCTCTTACCAGCAACTCATAGTGAAGAGCCGCCAATGAAGAAAGTTAGAATAGAGAACAATGAGTTGGAAGAATCTCAAGAATCTATGGAAACTAGAGAATGTGTAAATGAGGATGCATCATTGGTGCACGAATACGTCCATAATAAACCTTTACTCGACTTAGTTGATTACACTACAAAAGAAGAAAGACGACGAATTTCACAGAATTTAATAGACGAAATTCGTTCCAGTGCGAATTTTAAACGTGTTAAGCCAGCGAGAGGTTCTACATCGGAATTAGACGAAGAATTTAATAGCTGGTAAGTTCAGTCATTTATATTTTCATCTTTTGTTGTTACTTGTCTACATTTTCTTTTGTGATCTCCATCTTTTTTTTCTTCGGTCTTTGCTTTGCATTTCGTGCCATTTTTCTTTTTGCTTTTTTAATTTGCATGAAAT